TTTTTGACATGAGTTCTTGAATTCTGGCCCAGCCAACAAGAAGGCTGTCAACACAGCCAAATGCCTTCGCCAACTGCAGGGGCGATTGTGAAACGCCGTAGTGCAGGAGTTGGTTCTGTCTGCTCTTAGTGACCTCATGTAATGACCCAACGTTTGGATTTCTATCTCAGTTCTGGATTTGAAGGCGGAGCGTCAGCAGTTGCTTGTTGAGCCTGGTTCTGCTGGGCTAAGCCACCCGTTCCTTGAGCCTGCTGCAAAGCCAAACCTCTTTTCCCCGCTCCCTCCCAACCTGTGTGTTCCTCCAGCCTGGCCGCGCTCTTTGCGTCTCCTGCCATCTAGACCGCAGCAGCTCGTTCCCCGGCATCTCTCCAGAGCCTTTTCTTGTCAGAAGCACACAAACACGAGCTTGCCTCTCCTAAAAGAGCCTGTGGTATCCCGGTGTTGTACGGGACAAGTGAGATGAGATGCGACAGACGCTTCGGAGCGGGCGTCTCTCACCAGGGCTGCTTTTTGGACTGAATGCCATTTAAAACCAGACCTTTTTATAGCAGGTATGCAGTGTGTTTTTCCACCAGAACAAGTATCTGAAGAATACATAATGAAAGGTTCTAAATTTGAAAACAGTCTTTTCTTTAAAATATACGTCTTTGCACAAGCCGCAGGCAGCACTCAGTGCTGCGTGAAAACGTAGCACAGGACAGGTGATCCCAGGGGAAGAGGGCTTAGGTTCAGGTGATGAAGAGTTTCTGATATGCCACAGCTTTTATTAGTTCTAGTCTCAATTTGTGATTAATTGGTGCTGGAGCCGAGTGAGGGATTTGGTACGTTTTGATTAAATTGTGATTTCAGGAATTGAAATGAGAACTGGTTTTCTCTGGGGTAGGCTGTAAAAAAAAGGCAACCTGCAGTGTGGGAGAGGTGTCAGAGGAAAGTTTCAATCATTTGACATCCACACTAAGAGCTGAAAACCTTTTATATTAGGACAGGCTTGGGATGGCTGTGTTCGGACAGCACTAACGTGCAGGGTGTGATTTGTTGCTTCAACTGTCACTTAAATTACTTTTCAGTTAGTCCTAAATGCACTCGGATATACCCAGTGCTAAATTAATACCTTGTTTGGCTTTAAAAGCTGGGGGAAGGTGGATGCCAATAGGTCGGCCGCTTCGGCTCCACACTGAAACGGTAGTTGGGCGACGGAGTTTTGGGTTTAATCACAGTTTGCTGCTGTATTTAAACATAAATAAAATAAGGCACTTTGGGAAAGCTCTCATGTGATCTCCGAGTGAGATGCTGGACATTTAAGACTGTGAAATTTCCTTGAAAAGTACACCTACACATATTAATTTGCCTAATGGTTGATTAAAAAAAAGGGAGTGGGGTACGAGAGAAGAAGGAGTACTGGAGTGTTGGGAGGAACTAGATAGTGCCTTTTGTGTGCTCTTCGCAAGGTCAAGTAGAGACTCGAACACGTGGTAATGTAGCGGTTCTCGAGACCGGCTGAATGGGAAACTGTTATCCTCAGAGGATGAAAGTGATCTAATGGAGCCAGTAACATGGAAACCACGCTGCGGAACAGAGTAACCCCACATGCCTGATGGTTTTCTTGGCTCAGGGCCCATAGTTATTTATGTTGTCCCATGATTTTCCTTTGAATATTTAAAAAGGATGGCAATACTGCTTCTGGCAATGTCTTAATTCTTTTGACAGCGAAGAAAATGTGGATCTGAATTCTTTTCACCTGGATTCTCCCTGTTTGGCATCCACCCAGAAAGGAGACAAGCCTCAAAGATGTGAGAAATTCTCTGATGAAGACTTCCCCCTGGAGATCAACAACCTTTCAGTGACTCAGCCAACAAATAGAAGCTGCAGCTCTACCCTGGACCGAGTCAGTATTTTCCTGCAGAATGCACTTCATTAATTTTAAGGAGGATTGTGACTGATGGTAGAAAAGCAAATAGCTTCCGGCGTGGAAGAACTAGGGACCCAAATGATGAGACAGCAGGCTTGAAGCAAAGGGGGTAGCATATTTTTTCAAAGTAATTCCTTGTTGTCCAAGACATACTGAGACATAAGTGTGAGTCTGAAAAGAAGGAAGAAATGGAAGGCTGTAGGACGATGGATGCTGGCTAATTGGTAATTTCAGTGAAGCACAATATTCGAGTACACATGGGTGCAGCTATGAGAAGCTATGGGATGTTGTTACTTGTCCTGCCTGGTTTTCCCTCTTTCTCATGTCTGTCTTTGTTCTCCCCTTTATCACTGAAGTGCCGCTGCTGTGTGCACTACGTATACATGCATGTGAAGGTCTGTTAAAAAGCTGACCCTGGGAAAGAGCTCTGTGCTTATTACAGATACCGGCATTAGACGGAGTCTGGAGCAGGGCTGTGTAGCAGTGTTTCAAAGGGAGGCATTTCAAAACGAAAGGGATGATTCTTGGTATGGTACGATCCCTTGACATACTCCAGAAAGATCCTTCCCCAACTTAGTCTCGCTTTCTGTCTCCCCCAGGACACCAGTTCCCCCCTAAGTAAGCTGCAGCATGCGTTGGCCGAGTCTCGACAGATGGTTGCTGATCTGGAGCTTAGCGCTCTCCTCCACGCCAGCCCTCGCTGCAGCCCAACCAGCAGCACCGTGAAGACGGTGTGTATTACTCCCCCGTGACTAGATCTGGGTGGCCAGGAGGAGCGATTGCAAATGTCCTTTCCCTTGTGTTTGACTTGGGTTACGGCGTTATAAATGGTATCCTCTCAAAGAGAAGATTCCTGCGTGCCTTAGCATGAAGTACTTGCGTTTCTTTGTGACTCCTCAGGGTCGTGACAAGATTTGACTTTTGCATGTGTCTAAACAGATGGAAGGAAGAAGTCATTTTGGAGCAGGCTGTAGGAGGTCTAGAAAAAAGTGAACAGAAGTATGACTTGCATTCAGAACTGGGTGTATTTGTGGAAAGGAGGACAGTATAGGAAATGGGTGATATATGGAGTAGTTTTGTACATAAATTTAAACCAGACTCTCAGCTTAAATAACTTACAGAGTTCTTGTGCTTTAATAGTTTTAGTTCCTTCATTGCAGGGTCAGAGAACATGCTCAGTGGTCCAAGAAAATAACCTATATGTAGCTGTCATGGCAATTTATTTATGAGCAGGAACACTGATAGGGAGTTTCTTGAGCGTGTGGGCAGTATAGAATCATAGAATCACAGAATGGTTTGGGTTGGAAGGGACCTTAAAGATCACCTAGTTCCAACCCCCCTGCCATGGGCAGGGACACCTTCCACTAGACCAGGTTGCTCAAAGCCACATCCAGCCTGGCCTTGGACACTTCCAGGGATGGGGCATCCACAGCTTCTCTGGGCAACCTGTTCCAGTGCCTCACCAAAGGAGTACAGTAGGATTAGTAGTAGATTACACCAGTAGGAGTAATTGGAGAAGGGGGCACATGTTTGTTTTTGTAAACATCTTTAATAATTTCTACCTTGTTTGACAAAGAGATCATACCACCTGTCACTAGAAATGACTAAAGTTGTGCTGATAGGTATCGTGAAGGGAGAATTTAGGTTTTTGGTTTTAACAGACCTCTTTAATGAGAAGGCTGCATGCTGAAACTTCAACTCCTGTAAGGCATTCTCTCGCTCTAAGTGTTGCACTCCTCATATCCTCAGATGAACTTGACCAGAACAATGTACTGTAAGCAACAGACAAAGTAATGTTGATAACATTCAGAACCATAAAACCTTAGTTGTGCTGGGACTGACTGAGTATAAAGGTTGTGTGCCAGCGTTTGCATAAACTGAAAGGGTGTTTTGTTCAGCAGCTCATCTGCAGCGTTTCATTCAGCATGAAAGACAGCAGCAGTGTAGTCCTTTGCAAAGACTATCCTGTAGGAGGTATTCCTGAAAAGCTCCCTGCAAAACAGTGGCTGCTTGTGGCTCTTGCCCAGCCCCATCAGCTGTCTGGCTCCTGCTTTCTGGTTGGCACGTCACAGCTCGGCTGAACGGGGCCGTCCTTTGGTAGGGAGCATGACTCTGCTTTATCACCCGATACTGCATTTTTGAGCTTGGAAATTGGCTTCTTGTTGGGAACGGTTGCTTTAGCGGACAGCAGATAAAGCAGGCTTGTGTGTACTGGCGGGGGTAGCTGCTGAGCCACGTCTGTGGGACTTTGATCCACTTTCACAGCCGTTCCGGGCCAAAACTTGTCAAGCGTGTTTTAGTTAATCTGCGCAGGCCAACTACTCTGTGCTTAAAACCAGGCTCACCTGAGGGGTTTAAAACGTGGTGTGTGTCAGCTGTAATCCTTAGCACTTAATCAGTAAGAATTGGTACCTGTTGGATTCCGTGCCCTGCTTGAGGGAGGGAGAGGAAGGAATTAAACAGCGTATCCTTGCTGCGCGCTGGTTGGACTCTGGCAGCTCTGTAATTTTTGTTATCCGAGTTCTTTGATTTCCACACAGTGTTTCTGTGTTACAATATAGACAACAGACCTTGCAGAAGCTCTTCACAGAACCCAGCTCTCTGCGGCAGAAGGAAGAGATGCTGAGCTCCCGTTCTTCTCTCTGTGATGTCTCGTGAGCGTGAAGGTGTGTTCAGTTTGATCTTTTTGTTGTTGTTGATTTTTCGCTTTCCCTCTTTATAAATGTCTCTGCAGTATTAACCCGAGTCTACGGACTTCTGAGATGACAGTGGACGTGGTTGAGCGGTGGACTTGGCAGCGTTGCGTTTGTGGTTGCACTCCATGATCTTAAAGGTGTTTTCCAGCCTGAATGGTTGTGTGAGCCAGGCACAGGACTTGGGGTGCACTGCTCTGAGTGCCTTTCCTGTAGAGCTCTCGTCAATACTGTAGCAGCGAGCAGATATTAAGGCAGCAGGTAATTCCCTTAGTCAAATAATTAAACCTTTCTCCAGCACGCTCCTCGTCTGGGCAGTCAGATCTCGCAGCTCTGTTCCCAAGTACCTGCACGCCGCTTATTGTAGTTAAAGTCCTTCTGTGTGTTACAGATAACGGGATCGAGGATATGGACATTGTTGGATAAGAGACTGGGAAGTGATTTTCAGTGCCACAGCCAAGGGCCTTTTTCGCATATTGTTCCTGGGCTCAGAGCTCCAAAAGTAGAATGCATGGTGTAGAGCTGGTTCAGAACATAAAAAGCAGCCTTGCCCGGAGCAGAGTGTTTTTTCTTTTAGAATCAGGAAGTTTCTCATTCCGATAATTTCTCCTACCAGTGTGAATTGGATGCTTGCAGTAGGCTCCACGTCGGCTGGTTCCCGAGGACAAAAGAGTAACCAGATACGGTTAAAATATCAAATGCCACGTGAAACAGAATAAGATCTAGCAACAGTGGGGGGAGAAGGAAGTTATTCCACAGCAAGCTGGAGCGTGGAGCTGGGTGGCACTGGATTTCTCATGCTCATCAGCTTGGATCCAGCGGGGAGCTGGTGCCGAGTTCTCTCCCGGTATATTCAGACTGCAGTCCTTGAACTGTTTCTGCTCAGTGGATGTAAACCCTCTGTGCCCCTGGGGGGTTGGTTTGTAGCGTCCCTCATGTTCTGCTGTTCCTGCATTAAGCCTGGAGACACTAAGTCTTCTCCCAAAATAAGCTGGGTGTGCTTAGTGCCGGCTAATGGGGCTCTCCTAGGAATGGATGCTGAGTAGCTGGAATGCCGTACCTTGCGCAGCCGTAATGTTCCCTGCAGAGATCCCTTCGTACAAAGAGCCCTAAGCTGAAAGAAGCTGGAGGTTTTCTAGGTCCAAGCCAGCTCTGTGACTTGCAACCCGAAACTACTGATGTTAAGAAGTTTCAGGAGCAAATCCCCAGAATTGCTGAGCACGGTGCTGATGGAGCAAAGCGGTGAGCGTACGCTTAGCCTATGGAAACAACCCCGCTTGCTTCAAGGGAGAAAGAACTGCTGGAATGAACATACCCACAGTTCACTGTAAATCCGTGACGGGAATCCTTGTGCAAGTCACTGGCCACCACGTAATTCCTCTTTTCTTTGTTTATGCAAAGGCAGTGAATCGCTGTGATCAGTGAAGTCCAAAGCAGCTTCCGCAGAGCTGGTAGCAGGTCCAGAAATAACAAACCCTTGCGTCGTGGGTTGGGGTTTTTTCATTAATTGCTTTGAGAGCAGATGCTCCGATAAGGTTAATTTCCTAACGAGCTGACGACGACTTAGTCCTTGTCATCAGTCAGTTGTTTTTCCTTTAGAGAGAGCTTGGGTGGGGAAGAGCTGGAGCAAAGAAGAAAAGCAGTGAGTAAAAGGCTATATTTGGGTTGGAGCATGTGTCGCTGGTCGTGAACTGTGACTCAGGGGCTGGCCGAGGGCACGAAGATCGCTCCTTTTGGGAAACAAACTGGGGAGATTTTATTTCCTAACACCCCAGCGCTGACCCAGAGACTGTTGTCTTCCTGTGAAGTGCTTTGGTTACCCTTCTCCCCTTCATATTTTTACCCCCTGGTTTTGTCTGCAGTGTAAAAACTTAATGTAGTAAATTGACACACGTGTGAGCGCTTCAGATGTTTTAGAGGAAATGTTCCTCGTTTTAATAAAAATCTTTAATTTTCTGCAGCGGATGAAGACATTTCCAATACAGAATTAACCCTGAAAACTGAAGATCGTCGGCCCGTCGGCTACAGTGGAAAGTTACCTGCTTTTTTTTCCCGTGGTTCTGTGAGCGTTTGAAAGACTCTCCAGGGGCAAAACGCTGTCACTGTACAGGAATATATTTTATCTTGAAATAAAACACAGAATTATGCCACGATTAGCAGAACTATTTTTATAGCTGAGAGCTCAGGTTAAGTGCAGCTTGTTTTTTAAGAATCTCGAGTGTGTAATTGTTACGACAGAGGAACTATTTTTCTTACCCTTTTTTTTAATGGTAGCTCAGAAATATTTATAGAGCATGACACAGCCAAGCATTCTTTTTTATTTTTGGGTGGTTTATTGTTTTTGTTCTGGACTTCTTGCCATGTAGAGAGAGATGAATAATGTTTATAGGAAGTTCCCAATTAGTGTCGTAACCAGGAACTGCCTCCTACATCATTGGGATGGGGGAGCTGGATGGGCAAACGGCTCTTCCCAGAGAAACAGCTCTTGGTCAGGAGTTGTTTATCCCAGCAAAAGTTCCTAATGAGGCTGGGGGGTGTGGGCTCTGTGAGCACGGTGTGGCAGCAGCCCAGCAGAATGGGACCAGCCTTTACCTTGACTCTTGGGCAAGACATGATCCGTTACCGCACTTGGAACTTACTTTTAACTAAAAGGTCAAATAAGCTAATAAAGGTGTATCTTTGCTGTGTCTTTTTGCCTTTTTAACACAATGCCTGAGCACATTTAGTACTTGATTTATGACGGTTCTCCGGGACGTAGAACACTGCTGGAGCCACAAGTGGGCTGCTCGGTCGCGTGCGGCTGGGGACCCCTGTGCCAAGTCCGCACTGCTGAGCGCTGCGCCAGCGTGGGAGCAGCTAAGGGACAGGAGTCTCTGTCCCTGCCCGCTGCCAGGAAATTAATTGCAGTGAAATACAACACTTGCACCGTGGTTTCCCCTCGTTAACTCTTTCATAGAACTTTGTGCTTTCCCTTTAATTACCTCAATGACAGCTGCTGGCCTTTGTGTACTCATGGGCCCAAAATTAGTCGACCGATTCTGATCATAGCTGCTGCCTGCCCTCCCCACCCGCGAGCGTTACCCGCAGAGGGAATCTCTGCTTCTCGGGGCCTTTTTAAGTTTCCAGAGTAAAGTCTTCTGGAATAAAGCGCCTTTCATTCCTCTCCCTGCAGAGAACCTTTCTGGGCTCCATCCCCAAAACCTAGTGCTGTCGGTACGACGAGAATTCCCAAACAGAAAGCCCCGGACTGCAGCACCAGGATGCTCACCCTGAAGCTGCCCGGCAGCTCTGCGTAGAGGAAGTTTAAGCGTGCGTGGCGTTAGTGGAGGAAGGCACCGAGCCCCCTTGGGAATTGAAAATGCTCTGCCGATGGCTTTACAACCGATACAGAAAACTGCGCTGAAGCCATGAGGCTCCGCGGAGCCCTGGGATTTTGTGTGGGGGCTGCCCTGGATTTGTGGAATGGGAAGAAGTGGAATATCGGGGTTGATTTATTCAGGCAGTAGGTGACTTACAGACTGATGGGATGATCTGCCAGG